ACAGGTCCATAAGACCATATTTCTGTGCATAACCCTTGGTGAAGGAGTACTTTAAACCATTCCAGTGTACTGTTCACAGCATGTTTCAGTTAAACCATCTACTTGCATCCTATAGCTTTCTGACCTGGGGGTGAGGCATGGGTTGCACTAGAGCGAATTGTTTGTTTTACCAAAAATTGGGTGAAAATTGGAGCTTTTCCTAATGCGACCCCTACCAGCAAAATTTGCAAAAATATGTCAGTGGACCAAAAAGATCAAAGACGCTGTAGTGTATGGGTGGGACAGGCAGATTTTTCCAAAATCGCCCAAAGAAAACAAAAATTCATTAAGCATGTCAATTGCATGTTTACTAAAGAAAATTGATGGACAGTATGCCTTCACGAGAAAGAATCACTGTTTACAAAAGCATTTAATCAGTGTTTACACACAAGAATTTAGCCTTGCCGTGTGGCTTCATGTTCGACCGGAAAACGAACCCCTCAAAAAATTGGTCAGTGCCGATATATTTGGGTCTTTCGGACCGACCAAAAAAAAATTTGCTCTGGTGCGACCCATGCCTAATTCAACTAACAGACACTGACAATCTGCCAATCATACTGTAAATTGGTAGCAACTTTCCACTCTGCAGTATGGTCACTTGAGATCGTTTCTTGTATGGTTGTGGGTTCATCAATCTCGCATAGATGAAAGGCAACATGATGCAAGTAGTGGAATGTGGTGTCTGCATGTTCATCGTAACCATACCTGACAGGTGCTTTCTGTGTGCTTTCAGACTTGCAGGGTTTTGCAGCATGTAGTCTTCTAATATTTCTTCATTTCTGCATCTTTTTCCTCATGTTTTCTATTAGCAACTGCATTCTGCTTCGCCTACTTGGCCTTTTGGTCTGGCTCAGTTGTAATGGCTTGCTTCTGGCCAGAATAGTTCTCATTACACTCAACATATCTCTGGATACGAAGCTTTCTGTCCGTTTAACATCATGTTGTCGCCCACGAAACAGATCTCTTTTACTTCTAGTCTAACTAGTTTAGTTGTCCATCATCTCGCACCAGGTCATGTGCTATAGATCCAATTAACCATAAGTAGCCCACAACTGGTTTCTTTCTCTACCACCGCTCATAAGGAGTTTCATTCTCTTTTAGTGCCATCATGGAACGGCAGTTTCTCACATAAGCAGCCAAGAATCTTCAGCCCAAAAGATCTTCAATAATCTTGTATGTGCGATCATCAAGCCCACTGACTCCACCAAATTCAGATTCAGACGTTCCGATACACCGTTCTGCTGGGGTGAGTGTGGCACTCACTGTCAACTTATGTCCAATTTCTTTATCCTTCAGATAGTATTGGAACTCAGTAGACAAATACTAGCCACCACTGTCCATTCACAAAGTTCTTATTGCTTTGCCGACATCGTTGGAAGTTGTGGCTTCAAAATCTTGAAATTTGTCGGGCACTCCTGACGTGTGTTTCATGAAGTGTACAGCACTGCACCAAGTGTAATCATCAGTAAACATGTCAAAATGCTTTGCTCCTCTGATCAGTCAGATAATGTTGTTTAGCTGCAGACTTAACACTCCCAACAGACTCCATTAACACTGCACATAAACATCTTCACCAAAGTCAGAATTTCTGGTTTCATCTTTAGTTGAAAAATATACATGCTTACTTAAAAGGATCTCTCTGACTTGAAAAAAAAAAATTTGCTGGAAAAGCTTCATTTTGAGTTAAAAAGTTCCATATTCACTCAAAAAGAATCTCTTTTAAGTTGAAAACAGTACTTTTGCTTGAGAAAATTTCAACTTCAGTTGAAAAGGATACATACAAGAATTTGGTTTAAATACATTGTTTACGTTCGAGTTGAAAAAATACTTTGTTGGAAAACTTTCATATTGAGTTAAAAAGTGCTATGTTCAATTCAATATTGATTTAACAAAGATGCCTAATCTGCATCTGAGTAACAAGTCAGGTTTCCACCAGGACATTTTTGGTATCTCACACTAAGATATACAGCTCCTTTCAGTTATCCAAGGATTTGTTTTGTGGAATGCCTTTTTGGAGTATTTCACAGAAATTTGACACAACTACAACTGCTTGGGTGATGTCCGGACGAGTAACTATTGCAGCATAAGGTGCTGTAGGCTCCCAGCCATGGAGTACCATGAGTAGGGCTTTCCACAAGTTGCTCGAGATTTCCCAAAAAGTTGCCCGCAATTTCTCGAAATGTTGCTCAAAAAAGTCAAAAGTTGCTTTTTGTAATGAAAGTTGCTCAAAAATTTCTAAAAAACAAAAAATTTTTTTGTTGCTCTCCTCCTTTACTTAGTTTGATGCAAAAATACGCAAATTGTACAACAAAAGTAAGATTTCTAAGCATTTTTGTGCAATTTTGCAGCATAACCAGCGTTCCTAAATAACATAGTCCTCAATCAAAACCGAATATTAATATTAATGTTGTAAAAATTCTTCATCGGAGACACTCAAGTCAATCAAGTGTGAATCTCCGTCCACCATTTTGAATTTCCTTTAAAAAAAATGCTGACCTAGCAGCCCGGCTGCATCCATCTTGCACCCATCATCAAGGGGCAAGAGGGGAGGGGGATCTGGCTCCTTTTTTCACAGGAAATTCATAAATTGTCTCCTAAAACACTGTGAAATATAGAAGCATGGCCAATTTAACCAGCAAAAGCTGCTCCGATTTCTCAGAATTGATAAAAAAACTAGAAATTGCTCAAAACGAAAAAAGTTGCTTGAAATACAAGAAGTTGCCAAAAAGTTGCCGAGTGTGGAAAGCCCTAACCATGAGATCACATAACTGGGTCTGTTAATTGATACCATATTTCTGGGTACCACGTGCTTTAAAACATGCAACTATACTGTCCACAGCATGTTTCAGTTCAACCATCCACTTGCATCCTATTGCCTTCCAACCTGGGGGTTATTCAACCAACTTCCATCTTGTTTACGATCAGCCAGTTGTACTCTGATTCAGCAGCAATTTTCCACTTTGCAGCATGGTCACTTGACTTTACTTCTTGTATGGTTGTGGGTTCATCAACCTCACATAGACAATAGTCAACCTTTCTTCCTTTCTACTTCTCCTTCATCGTCTCTCGTGTCATGTGCATTCTTCGCCTCCTTGACCTTTCAGACTGGCTCTATTGTCATGGCTTGTTTCTGGCCAAAATTGTTCTCAAAATCTCTCTCTTTCCATTGGAAAAGGTCTAATCTGAGTTAAAAACTACCATGTCTGATCAAAAAGGAAGTCTTCTGAGATGAGAAAAGTATATTTGCTTTAAAAAGCTTCCTCTTTAGTTGAAAGAGTTCATACTTGCTTAAAAGGATCTGTTCTACGTTCAAAAAAACATTTTTTGCTTGCAAAGTTTCATTTTGAGTTTAAAAAGTCAATGTTCACCTAAAACAGGATCTCTTTTTGAGTCTAAAAAGTACTTTTGCTTGGAAAAGTTTTACCTTTAGTTGCAAACCTTTAGTTAAACAGAAGTACTTTCGATAGAAAAGTTTCAATTTGAGTCACAAAGTTCCATGTTCAGTTAAAAAGGATCTTTTCCGAGATGGAAAAAACGATTTCTACTTAAAAGTCTCATTTTAATTGAAAGAGTTCCATCCTTTTGAAAAAGCTACCTTTCTACTTTGCAATGTTTCATCCCTTATTGAAAGATTGCCTAGTCGACCTAGTTCAACAACGAGGTAAAAAACAACCTTTCGATTTCTAAAAGTTCCATTTCAAAGTTCCATCCTCTAGAAATTCCATATCCATGTAAACTTCGACTTTTTGATTTAAAACCTGTTTTACGTTAATTGTGCTACGTCCAATTTTAGATGAAGACGCCTAGTGTTACAATGCCTATTTGAATTGGAAAAAGTTGGTTAAACGTCAACTTTTCGAGTCAAAAACGTTTTAATTGCATTTAAAACATTCACTGTCATTTCCAAAAGGCTATATTTTTGATTTCATAGTTTTATTCTAATATGCAAAAGGTCCACTCAGAGTTAAAATCGTTCTTCCTCAGCTGAAAAAGTAGAACTTGCTAAAAAGACTAACATTTAAAAACATCTTCATAGGAGCTGATAAAGTCGTATGTTTGATATAAACAAAGTTCAAAGTTCCATGATAAATTCAGAGTTTCATATTCAGTTCACAAGGTAGTCTTTTAAGTAAAAATTTTCATTTTTCGTAAATACGTTTCGTAGTTTAAAAGAACTCAGTTTACTTTAAAAAATCCCCTTGCGACTTGAAAGCCAAAAATATTGCATTTAAAGTTGAAAACGTTCACATTCTTTCAACTTAAAGTCTTGATCATGAAAAATTCTTGAATTCAATCGACTACACTACCACAGCAAAACTTACAGGAAACAAAAACTCAATTGATGATTTATCACACAATCAATATTTATCACACAATCAATATTGATGACTATGTTGAAACAACATTTTTTCCTTTTTCAATTTGTATTTTTTCCATCAACATTGCAGTCAAAACTGTGCTACTACTAAAACAAAACATTTTTCACGATTTGCAAGTTTAATAACTCGTTTCCATCCCATGTTGCATCGTTTAAGTGAGCTGTTTCAAATATGTTTTTATATGATCACACACAATCGTCCAATTTAGCTTTAGATGTCAAACATGCAATTTCCGTTATTGCTTGTTTTTCATTTTATAGTTTTCCTAATCCGCAAAACTTTTCAATCCCACATTGGTGTCAATCAGCTTTGGAACAACCGGACGCGGGAAATTTGAGTAACAATGATGTCGATAGCTATGACAACATCTAACGAAACAATTGATATTTTTCTTTTCCCTGAAAAATCTAGACAATTTGTCTTTTGGCAGAATACAGAATTTGATCATGATACTAATTTGATGTTTTGCAAACGACGGTAACAAAATGTACCAAGATGGTAAATGCGTGTACAGAGGCGCTGAACTTTTGTTGAGGCCGTGGCTTCAATTCCTTCCATAAAACAAACAAACAAGGTACTTACATTTTGCCTAGTTCCATTGCTTGCTCCAGTTGTTTTCCATCCTCCGTTTTTGCTTCCATCCTTGCAATCCTGCAGATTGAAAAATTTCATTTGATCAAATACACTAAAAACGAAAATGAAGAACAGCTGAGAGTCTGACGTCTATTCAGAATTTTGTCAAACTTGTTAGCTTTGGGATAATTATATGATATTGAAAAGGAGGAGGAATAAAATGTTTCAGAGCAAACATTTTTCCAATTTAAAACTGTGCAAGTTTTTTTTTAAGGTTTGCTCGATCTTTCTAAGCCCACGTTGTTCTCTCTCTCTCTCTCTCTCTCTTTGTTGTGCAGGATTATGTTTGGTAATTGACAACCCTTAAAAATATAATAGTTCATACCTAATTAAAATTACACAATGTGAAGTCAGGTTAACTCACATTTTGCCAAGTTCTTTTGGTTTTATCCATGTGTTTGCTTTTGTGAATCTTACTCCACCTTCACGCTATCCTATGATAAATAAACACCATTATTTCATCAATAAATGTTCAGCACAACCAAAAAGTGCTACTGTCGCCTTTGCCTCGATACACGCAAATATTCTCTTCAATATCGAGCATTATGATTTTTCCAATTGTTAAAATTAATAACTAGCATTTAAGAGTTTTAAACTTGGAAAATCTTGAGATGGCTAAACAAAATTCTAAGACAGCAGCACTTAAATTTAATTTGGCTTTATCAACTGGGTTGATAATGTGAATTGGCCACTGTAAAGAGATTCAAAAGCTGACGTTTCTAGCATTAGCCCTTCGTCGGAGCGAATTGAGGAATTGTGGGTTGTGTGTGGTTTATATACAGAAAGATGGAGCTATGCTATTGGTTGGTGCATAAATTAGTTGAATGGAAATCGTTCGTTGATACTGTGAGGATTAAGGTACCGATTTGGAAAATAAATTCTTGTTCTAGAGTTTTGCGGTTCTCCGTGCTTCCTTGATGTAGGGAAAGGCCGCAAACTGCCATATGTTGCTTACACCCGTAAAATGATTGGGGAGATTAAAGTGTCTCGCGACTGGTTTAGGTGCGTTTTTGTCATCTTTCTCTACGTCACGAAGGTGTTCTCAGAATTGGTCGCCTAGTCGTCTCCTTGTTTCGCCGATGTATACCTTTTTGCGAAGAGTGCAGATTATGCAGTAGATGACATTGGCCGAGGTACCGGTGAAATGATCGGTGATCTTGATGGATCGCTTGCGTCCCGATATTTTCTCAACATTGCGAATGAAAGGACATGTTTTGCACTGTGCGCATGCGCATTTAAAAGTTCCGGGTTCATTACTTGTTTGGAATGTACATCTGACTAAAAGGTTACCTACATGTATGTTTTTGTCGTGTTTTAGTTTAAGTTCAACTCTAGATTCATAAAGATTTAAAAAAGAACTAAATTTAGTCAGAATACTGCATGAGAAATGGAGCATTTCAGAGGATTATAGGGCATGGTTGAATGACTTCCAGTTCTAGGTTGTTCACTAAGACAGTATTGCAAGTTTTAATACATCTCCACCTCCAAATTTAAAGACCAAGTATTGTTCTTTCTGGAAGCTACCATGGTTGTTAAGAAACACCTTCTACATTTTACACCAAGTTGCCAGAGGTGAACTAGCTATTAGTTCAAGGTAGTGCTAAAAGCCTAACATTCGTTTGAAGAGCTAGATCAATCTAACTAGTTTGGCGAATTTTGAATTGAATTTGATCACTTCAGCGTAATCTTAACAACGTGTTCAGCATGGTTGTGGAGTATCAGCAATAAACACCACAGAATAAGGTAGAAAGAGCAGTAGAATTTTTTCCATAAAAGTAACGGATCATCACTTTGCAGGAAGTGAAAAGCTCCATGCTTACCGAAAAGCATGTGCTTCGAGTTTTCATTTTGAGTTGAAAAGTTCCATGCATACTTAAAAGGATCTCTTGAGAGTTGAAAACAAGTATTTTCGATGGAAAAGGTTCAATTTAAGTGAAGAAAAGTTCCATGCTCAGTCAAGATCATCTCTTCTGAGATCAGAAAAAAACATTTGCTTGGAAAAGTTTCATCTTAAGTTCTAAAAGTTCCATGCTTACTTAAAAAGGATATCTTTTGAGTTGGAAACAGTATTCTTGCCTCACAATGTTAAGGTGAAAACGCGTCCATGAAAAAGAAGTATTTTTGTTGGAAAGTTTCAATTTGAGTTTAAAAATTCCATGTTCAGTTAAAAATCTTCTCTTTTGTACGATCGCTTAAGGAAAATTACATGCTTATTAAAACGATCTCCTTTGATATGAAAAATAATCTTTGCTTGCAAAAGATTCATTTTGAGTTAAAAAGGATCTCTTGTGAGTCGGAACTAGTGAGACAATCTCAGATAGTGCAGAGCGCAATTGATAGCTCTGATACAGTAGTCCCATAAGTACTCACCCCTGCTCGGTTCACTTCCGGTTTGTGTCTACCTTGGTAGTCTGCTACGACTTTTCCCCTTTGCAGTGTGTATGTTTCAAGGTTGTATTTTCATTCAAGGTCCAAACATTACGCACAAATTAATTACTACTGGTGCTTTAAGTTGATTTTCGTTCATTTTAAATTCAACAATACGCTAAAGCAGCAAACGTGACAATTTAGCTCTTCACGCCAACTTTGTAACTTGATACTTTTGTTTTCCTCGCAAAGCCATGTAATATGAAACCCCTGTTTTCTC